ACTACTGCTGCTGCTGCGACGACGACTACTGCTACTACTGCTGCTACGACAACTGCTCACTGCTGCTGCGACTGCAGCTGCAGCTGCTGCTGCTACTACTTCTTCTTCTTCGGAAGCGCCAAAATCAGGCATCCCGGCTACAGCGATCAGCATGTAAGTGTCACTAAACTTAGACAACTTAATGTAGCCGGCCGGGTCTAGGCAAAGACTCATGCTTCGCTGAAGCGCTGCAGCTGGCCTTGCGAAGCCCGCCTTGCGAATCTCACGCCAGGCCACCCGCGAGCCAAGCCTGTTCGGGCGCGCGTCCGCCGCACGCAAAAACCACGGGCAAATGCAACAGCGGAGCGCCGCAGGTACTTTTTTTGGGCGTGTTGGCTCAGGAGTGCTTTGTTTCCCTTAGTAGCAGAGCCCCCCTTGCAGCTATGGAGCGCATCCCAAGAGACACCTTCTGGTGGTGCTCTCACTGGGAGATCTGATATACCACGCTCAAGCTCATGGCCACGATCTTTCTGCTGCATCAAAGCAGTTTATCGGAAGAGGCATGCTATCCTCGACTATAAAACTGGTTTGCTGCTTCCCTGCAGCCAGGCTCATACCCTCGACGCTGCAGAAGTCAGCTTCGATCATTCCGTGGTCGTGGGGATGATGTCCTTTGCGGCTAGGGCTGATGTCGAAGATTTTCGCATACGCAAGCCTGCTGGAGAAATTCTTACTCCATAGTCCTGAGGGGCAGCGCAAGCACCTTTCCAAAAGCAGTGGTACTTTAATCAATGCTGGCGAGTGCTTCCGAGAGATACCGTGAAGCTGTACTGCATTCGGGTTGCCTCTCACATCGCATCGGCAGTCCTCGCTCGACTGCTGCATCTCCTCTGAACTTCAGTTTTGTCAAGTGTGGTTTTATGTTGCAGGCTTCGGCCCATTGGGCCCTGACGGTATGCCTTAATTAGAAAAGCCCTAACCTCAGTTCCGAACCTGACAACACGCTGTTACCATGAAAGGGCGGTCAGGTCTTAACCGAAAGCCTTCTGGCTGGGCATGAACATGGTTTCCTTAGGGTGAGCTTTAAGAATGCTAGATTTCTCCGAGCTGCAAGGATTGAGAAGCAGCCTCCTTCTTTGAGCAAACCTTCGAAGCTAGCAAGATCATCCCATACCAAGCCTGTGTCCTAAGGAGGCGTGTTAAGAGGCTTTTTCGGCTGTAGCTGCATGGTCACACGATATGCCGTTGTCGACGGACGAGCAGTAGAGTGGACTGAGAGCGGGGTTACCAGCAGCGCTTAGATGATGCATACATAAACCTCTACATAAGCGAACACACTACAGAAGAATAACTTAACGAAAACTTTGGGCTGCCCGCCTGCCATGATTCGCTTCTGCACTTTTTGGTTGCTCCTCTTCTTCTTGGCCTGTTGTCTGCTGCAGCAAGCTTTGCGAAAGACTCTACAAGTCAGCTTGGTGGTTCCGTCACTGGAGGAAGCATCGGAAAGAGTAGAAAGACAACCTTTGGTGCACCCTTCCAGCACCGAACATCGTGATGAAGGAGCTGCCGGGTCACAAACCAAGAAAGAAGTGCCCGGCTTCCGTGCCCGCGTTTCCATTCTTTCATGCCGTGAGTGCCAGGGTGGAAGTCTCGGTGATTTGTCCACGCTGACTGCCTCAGGCCCTTTGCGGCATGTCGTCGTATCCATGGCGAGCCGGGATGTCGACATCCTGGCGTTCCTGGTGCTTGCGAGATCGCTCCGTACCGCTGGTCGCTTCTCAGGCGACATAGTCCTCATGTGGTTTGGCAACCCGAAACAGGATATCTCCTGTAGGTATAAGCAGGCACTGGAAGAGGATCGTTTCAAAGTTGTGTGCGTGCGCCAGCCCTTGCACGAAGCAGAAATTCACAGCAGCGTGACCGGACGTTCGTGGGATTGGGTGAAGCTGCTAGCGTTCACGCTGACCGACTTCGACTTGGGAGTATTTCTCGACGTCGACATGATGGCAATTCGTCAAACAAACGAGCTCTGGAGTGGTTTGGGCTTGGGTGCGGGAAGCGCGCAGAAGCAGTTGGCCTTCGTGGATGGACCCAAGTCGCTTTTGAATTCTGGGATCTTCGTATTTCGGCCCAGCATGGAAGACTTCACTGCGCTGACCAATCTTGTGCGCCGGGGCAAGTATTCAGAGCTCGATGGCTGGAACCACGCAGGCATCGTCTCAGGGAAGAACAACCATTGGGATGAGTGCCAGGGCTTGTTGTACCACTATTTCGTTCAGCTCCACAGAGGAGGCGTTCAGCTGTCACGAGAAGTTTGGGGAGCGAGCCCATATGGCCTCTCAGGAAGTGCAAGCATTGTTCATTTCGCTGGGAGTTCCAAACCGTGTGTGCTTGCCTCCATGAAAAAGCCAGGACACACAGGGAACGACGAATCCTTGTCATCCTATGTTCAGTGGTATGACTACTTGTCCCAAACAGTGGATGCGGACACCATCGCTAGCTTGTCGGCAGCATGTGCAAGACCTTTGCGAGGGCCTCATCCCGTGGCACCAGGCAACTTGGCCACCAAATCTCATTGGGAAGACCATGCGCCACTGTCGCCAGGGTTGTCTGCCGTCGTAGTGACGCAAGCCGAGTACGATGGGACTGTGACCTGTTCGTTCGTCAGCGAGAGCGCCGAGAAGTCTGTGTTCTGTGCGCAAGAGGTCGCCGAGCACACTCTCGTCAAGCGCTGGATACCGCGAGATGCAACGGTCTTAGAAATGGGAGCCCGATATGGAACGACTTCTTGTGCCATTAGCCAGGCGCTGGGAAACTCCGGAAAGCAGGTGGCTGTCGAACCCGACGAGCGAGTTTGGAACGCGATTTCACAAAACCGGGCGACCCACAACTGTAATTTCATCCTTCACCGGGGCATTGTTGGAGGGGGTGGCTACGTCCTCAGTGGCTTGCAGTATGGCAAGAGAGCTCATCGCGAAAAAGGCATCTCTGGCATACCGCACCTAACCATGGCAGAAGCAGAGCGGGTGTATGGCCTGCGCTTTGACACTTTGTTGATTGACTGTGAAGGCTGCGTCAACAGTTTCCTGAAGGAGAATCCTGACGCTTTGACGAACATCCAGCTTATTCTCCTCGAAGCTGATCAGCCGAAGACGATAGACTATCGGAAGGTCATCACGAACTTGGCCAAGCATGGTTTCGAAGTGGTTGACAAGTTTCAAGAGGTAGACAGACCAAACAAGCTCTGGCACTATGCTTTCAAACGCAGCCAGTAAAACAAGGGCTAGTTAAAGTCTCGTTTCTCTTGAAGCCGTGCTGGGATGCAATTGAAAGTGTTGACAACCTTTTTTGGGCTCGGCTTGTTAGCTCGATGTGTTTGACAGTTCCCCCTGAAGAATGCGTAGGCCTCCTGAGCAGCACAACCAACTTTCTGCTGGGGTTCCGTGTTTCAGCAAGGGCCTTAATTGTCTTTCGCAGGGGTTGTCCATACCAGCAGCTCTCCAGCTCAAAGTCGAAAACCTTGCAGACCACCTGCCGTCTCCAAAAAAGCATTGTGATTGGAAGAACCTCCACCTCTCTCTCTCTCTCGCCCTCCTTCCCTTCGAAGGCAACTTGTCGGGCTTTCAGTGAATGACGAGCATAAGCCGGTTTCAGGGCACCGAGAAGAAAGAGCTCGCGGGCAGGATTTTGGCTTGCTTCCACTTCGAAAAAGCTTCTGCAACTCCATGACAGATCTACAGCTCAAGATCCATGGAGCAATAATGAATATAAACATATGATCTAGAGTTTTTATTCGGCAAAATTATACTCAATATATTAGATGATGTTTTAAGATTTGAGATTTGTCATTAGGAATCTCTATTCTTTTTATAAGATTCTTCATGATTTTTAATGCGTAATATCTTGGGATGGGCCCAGCCACAGTAACAGTCCACAAAGGGCTTTAACATTAATCCTATATAAAAACAGCACTAACCAACCCGATCAAACTCCCACCTGCCTCAGCACCACCCAAACACCAACAACCTAGAGCCACCACCCACCACTGACCAAGTCAGTACCCAACACCCATAGCCCGATACAAGCAGCCAGCAGCAACACCAGCAGCACCACCACCAACCCACACATCACTCGCCTAGCCCACCACTGCCCACTAATGCCCACCACACCCATTTAAGACACTTAACACCCCACTGACCCACCACACCCCCTTCACCACTGGACCCACTACACTAACACCCCTGCTCCACCACACCCCTACCACCACTGGCCCACTACACCCCCGCCCCCGCCGCTGGCCCACCCCCACCCCTACCCGTACTCCCACCGCCCCTAGGACCACGCCTATACCTTATAATTTATATTATTTATAATTTGTATTTTATGTTGCTTCTATTATGATATTTTATTGTTTATTTGGTCTTAAATTGAATAGTTACGAATTATTTATTTCTATTATTTTTCTTTTCTAATTTTTATTTTATATCGAATTTGACCTCCTTTCTTTGCTTTTGCTCTTTTATCTCTCCCCCATATGTAAAATTATTTGCGTAATTAAGATGAGGGCTTAGTTATACGTGTTACTGGGTTATTGCTTCGCCACGGTGTGACACTTACTTCGGACTCCGCGTGGTAGTGTTTCGCCGGGTTTGTAATCTCGGCGGTTGTAGGCGAGCTTTGGCGTAGTCTTAAGGCTCTAGGGGCACTCCGTGTCTCGAATTGAAGAATAAAAATTGATTTACGTCGGAAAAAAGAACCGCGAAAAGCATAATTATGAGCACAAAAAAAAAGCACAATAAGGAGCATAAAAAAAAAGCACCGTAAAAAGCACAAAAAAAGCACAATTATGAGCAAAAGAAAATACCGCAAAAAGCACAACTAGGAGCACAAAAAAAAGCACCGCAAAAAACACAATTTGAAGCACAAAAAAGCACTTTAAAAAGCACAATTAGGAGCGCAATAAAAAGCTCCGCAAAAAGCACAATCAAAAAGAAAAATACCGCATAATTAGGAGCACAAAAAAAACACCGTAAAAAGTACAATTATGAGCATAAAAAATACTCCGCCAAAAAATCACAATTAGGAGTTTCCAGGGTCATTGAGCATTATCCTGATTTAGCCGAGAGAGTCTAAATAGTGCAGCGCTGTCGAGCTTTCTAGAAATTTCGAATTTTATGTTTACCGAATCTAGTTTCCATGCCTTAAAAAAAATTCGCGAGAATTACCCCTGGGGGGCTAGCCCACTAAATAGGAAAGAGATTGATTTAGCCGAGAGAATCTAGACAGTGCAGATTGTCAAGCTTTCTAGAAGCTTCGATATTTGTGTTTACCGAATCTTGTTTCCATGCCTAAAACAAATTCGCGAGAGTTACCCCTGGGGGGCTACCCCATGAAATAGGAAAGACAGTAAACTCTCGACTTGCACGTTGGTCCCAGCCCAGCCCCGGAGTCCAACCCACAACGCTCGCGATCCAGCATAAGAACAACCAGGTAGCCGCTTCATGCTTCATTGCATTCAATACGTGCGAAAATTCGGCGCAAAAAAGATATGAAGTGTAGCATAGACAGTAGACACAAAACTCCGAACCCAAAATCACAAACGATTCAACCCTGTGAGGGCCTTGGGCTGGGAGGGGAAGCGGAGTCGCTTTACCCCCCATCCCCATGTGGTTGTAGGGTTGGACCATTTGTGTTGGCCCTAACCTGTGGACCCAAACTTCGGCTCAAACCCTCCTCGGAGATGGATGCTCATGATGCTTATAATTGTCCGGTGTCCCCATACCGCCACAGACCCCATCCCACCTCATCCCACCTCATCCCCACCCCGCGTCCCCCCCACCCCACTCCACCCCAGCCCACCCACCCCACATGCACCCCCAAAGAGGCAAAGGACAGCTTCCCCATTCCTTGGCCTGACGTAAATATGCGCAGCTTTCAATGGCTACTGACGCTCATGCTTGTAGAAGTTTGGAAGTATGATCATGAGAAGTCCATTGTTTCAATATTTCTCTGGTTTTTTTTGTGCGTCTGTTTGTGGTCGTTGTTAGTGTGGTGGTGGGGCCTAAGCCAAGTAATATCTATATTTATATTCAATATTGCTGATAAATATTCTATTTATTTGGAAAAAATATGTATTATTTATTTTCTAAAAAGACTACTACTTATTGAAAATTGAAATTTCTGAATTTATATTCAAGAAAATTGAAAGTATTTCTTTATTCAATTTATTATTTGATATGAATCACAAATAAAGACATTATACTATTTTATAATTTAATTCATAATGTTTAATATTTTGAAATTAAATTTTTGGATTTAGTAATTGTGGAATATTGGAAATATTGTTTAATGGATTTTTCTAACGTTTCGTCGGTGTTTATTGTATATGGAGGTGGTTCATTCTGGAGATCGATATTTTTCATATTTCTCATTTGATATTGCGCCGGTCCGAAACTTCGTCGCTTTCTATGTTGTTGACTTACAACAGACTTGTCTAGGACCCCTTCCCCCTTAGACTCCTCTACAAGTCCTCCGCCCGGAACAATTATAATATTATAATTTCATTACGGGATGT